CTTTTTAGTTGTGGCGGCCACCATCAGCTTTGGCATGGGTGTTGACAATGCTCATGTTCGGTGAGTCGCTTCAACTTACTTCATTCTCATTTCAGCTGTGTTGTGCATTGGACGATACCAAAGAGTTTGGCTGCCTATTATCAGGAGTCTGGCAGAGCTGGACGTGATGGTCTTCCTTCTTACTGTCGAATATACTATGCTAAACAGGAGCGGGACACGGTGGCATTCTTGGTTGGTCAAATGTCGGAGGTGCACTTCTTATTTGTGCCATTTGTGTCGTTCATCCATACAAGCTATCTAGCTCAAATTTATTATAGAGAGCTCTAACACAAAAAAAGAAGGAGCACCGTGAGAAAGGCGTACAGGACTTGGCGCTAATGATCAACTACGTAGAGAGTTTGAAGTGGGTTTTCGCTGTTCTCTAAAAATGTGGCACATTTCTAGTCGGTCTTTCTGCTTTATTTCTTTCCTTCCAACTAAGGTGTCGTCATGCTCAAATTGCGGCGTATTTTGGAGATGATCCGCCTTCTTGTGTCAATCGTTGTGATGTATGCACTAACCCCACGAAGGTCTCCCAGCTTCTGGCCGGCTATAGGCGTGTTATATATGGTCCGTCTTTAAACGTTTTGTTATTTTGGCAGTTTACGTATTTATGCTGAACCGATAACTTTTGCTGGTGGCCTTTAGCAATTTTACATTCTTTCCTGCGAAGTTCAAATAGTGGATGTCTTCAATAGTTGCGCCCTCTACTTGTTGAGTTTTTAAGGCTTTCCCTTCACTGGTAATGGTTTCGGAACCCAGAGGATTTGCGATTTTTTTTAGGCAGCTTAATTGAAGGCGAAGGGGTTGGTGAACATGATGAGCTAGACACTGATTTGTACAGAACCCGACCTCGATGTAAGGGTGGAGGTTGGGAGGTCTACGACGTCGACGAAGCGCGTTTCGTATCGAGGCGGGGACGGGAAGCCGAGGAGGATGCAAGAAACGAACGTACAAATTTCGTTCTTGAAGAGCTGGCCCGTCGCAGAAAGGCCAGTGAGGCAGCTGGGTCGAGGGTATGCATTAAATGCAATCAAATTTCAAATAGTCCATGTCTGTCGCCATGCTAGAGCATGTTGAAGCTTCGTCGATTCCTTACCATTTAGTCATTTAGGCATTGTATTAATATGATAGATCGATAATTTGTACCATTACTGCAGGTGAACCTGTTTTTGTTATAAGGTTGCATTTAGTCTGTAGTGTTTCTGAGCTTGTAATTCGATCGAGTTTTTGTGGAAATGGAATATAGGCACCTAATATTTTTTTGTACGCGAAAGAGCTTTCTATTTGGATGTTTTGGAACCCCGAGGGCAGCTTAAAGTGATGCAGATGGTTTGCTCGAAATATGGTATCATTTTGCATTTTAAGTGTTCAGCATGAAACATTCTAGTTTACGTTTCGCTGATGATAATTGTGGTGGAAATACTAAGTAGCGGTACAGTTATATGGATTTTTTGAAAGTCGTAATGTTTCTGACAAAATCAGTGATATTGAGTATGCATCAGCTTTGGCCGAATTATCATTTTTCATCTAGTCTAAATCAAACATCCTGTGTGGGTAGAGGCCTCTTTGAAGCCTACACCGTAATGGCTGTGGATGTAGTTTTGGCAGATGAAGAGGAATATTGTTGTGAGATCTTGTTTCGCCCTAAACACTGCGTGCCTTCGAATTCAAAACGCTTGCCCGTTGGAAGATTGCTGGAGAAGTAGGAGTGGCAATGAAAGTTATTGTGTCACCCATCACTTTATGGAGGCGGAACTTTCTGTCTGAATGTCCTCCATATTCCATACTTCAAGGTAGCAAAGGTTTTGAAGTACTGTTGGTGTTCGTTGGATTGAAACCGCTTGTTTTGTCAGCATTATTAATCAAGATAACCATCGTTTCTTGATTACCACTTGTGATCAGCTCAGATAAAATGTCTTTACATCTCTTACACGGACATATTTGGGAAAAAGCGTCAGCATCTTCATTATCAGTGGCCCTTTTACCACTTTCCAATGCAATGTTAAGTTTCCGTTAAGGGGGCTTGTGAGAGAGATGCTGCTTAACTCGTTGATTGCCCGTATCGGGATTCACGTGTCGTATTTATCAGATTCTTAGCTTTCCCTCTACCTGAGAGTTTGGCTAGATTACAACCTCAGTGGAGATGCCCTGCGTTGGCTTGTGCCCTCAAAATGGGTCTATTCTCCATTATCACATGGTATCGTGTTCTAGTTTATGCCTATTTAGGAGGCTGGAGGGTGGTGCCTTACCATGTTGACAACAAACTTATGTCTGAGTTTATTTTGCCAAGCTTTGTTGCGGGCACCATTTAAAGCAGCCCCTAACCTCCCTGATTTCATCTGAGCTACACTGGTTTTAAATCTCGCTCAGCCACTTTTTGTGGATGAGCAGACACAATGCGCATCCCAAAACACCTCCTGTATTCGATTGTTGCTTTTTTCTGAATTCAAACACGTTTAACTTCGAGGGGGATATTAGTTTGGGTATGGCAAAAGATTCTTCATAGATTTAATATCGTAGGTGAAACGCGGGAGTGTTTTTCACTACTTCTTCGATATTGCCACTGACGGCTCTTTTCCACTAACATTTTCTATTCTCGTTATTGAGTACATGCCTCTATTCAGTTGTTTTCGCGTGGCATCAGTTGCTGACGTTATCGATGCATTTTCTAACCATGCAACTATAAATTTAGCTGTCCTCAAAGCCAAAGTATTCTGTGCTTAGTTGACCGTTTTACGTTCAACCAATCAGTAGGCAGCACGATATGCTGCAACTGTACTCTCATTTAGTCAATTATTAAATGGGTGTTAAATTAAAAATGGGCGATGCTACGTATATTTGACGCTCGAGAAACGTCTTCCATTCCACTCACATTTCCTTCCAGCGCTTGAGCATTCTTTCTGTATCTTTTTGGCTTTAATATTGTCGGTTAAACTCATTTGATCACTATACTGACTCCTTGCGATCTATTGGCGTTTGTTGTCCTACTTTTGAATTGGTTTTCATATTTTTAACCCCAGGTTCTGTGGACTCCCGCGGCTGAGGATTCCCTACTTATCGATCCCGAGAGCAAGCTTATCAACGGTCTAACAGGGAAGAGTCGGGATCAGACTCTCCAACTCCTCATTACCGCCGTGTGTGGTCACTTGACAGGCACTAGCGATACAGGCTCCGATTTGGATTCAGAGAAGTCGCACCTCAGCAAATTGGCAACACGATTGGAGCACCACATCTTCAAAACCTCAAAGGTTAATGCGACTCTACATTGCATCCTACTTAATACTTAACAGTAACTGGAGTTGTGGCTTCGAACACTATAGGTGGCTGGGGTCTACCGTGGACACATGGCTCGAAGGATCAGTCAGGCTCGCAAAGCCGCCTCTCTCTCCGCAATCTACGAGGCATTTGCGGAATGGTTGAATGTTCCTTTGACCTCAATTCAATCTGTTAACTCTAGCATTCTCAGCGGTCCCTCTGGAGAGGTAGACGTTGAACATCCCCTATCTCTACTACCCCTTTCTTCACCACCTGAACTTTCGCTTCTGGCCACCGAAACAAAGTCGACAACCCCACATCCTAAATCATTGGCTGAAAATCGTTCTAAACCTCAGTCTTTGCCTAGCGGTGTTAATGCCCAGGACATTATGGAATCTACCTGTCTTCCACCTTCCCTAAAAAAATCTCTTATCAGGGATTTAAGTGTCGAACTCAGTGGGGAAAAGCCCTCTACAATGTCGCTGGTAATTTTTAAACAGTGTTTTACAGTACTTTAAGCTTGTCTACTGACATCCACTTCATGTCGCCTTCAAAGCCTTCCGGAGAGTCGACAATGACTTACTTTTGGGAGACATCAACGTCTACTTCAAACGTCCAGAAGAGGGTACAAATGGAGAATCTGGATCAAGATGTATCGGTAGTGAAGGTAATAAAAAAGGAGGCATCCGCGAAAACTCGATTCTTTCTCCAGGATCCTGCTCCACTTCCATCCCAGTCATCAATGCCGCCACTGTCGGCACTATCACAAAACGTGAGTTGGCATTCCTGCTTTACCCCCACACTCCAAGTTAATCAGTTTCAAATGCATGAAAAGTCGGGCACTTTGTTTTCAATGCATTTGCTGTCAGAGTCTGAAAAGGAAATGTATATCAAACCTCAGATGTTTTGCTGTTTTGACTGATTCACCCTAATTTTCCCGGTACATATGTAGCATGGAGACAAGGCCAGGGAAATCAGTATCAAATTTGTGTTTAGAATGAAGGGTATTCTCACCTGATAATGGGAGCGTTGTTACATATTCCCTAGAAGTTTCG